CGGCCTTACACCTGTCACACTTCTTGTGACAGGTGTAAGGCGATGATGTGTTTGAAAAGATCACTCATCTCCTTAAATGTGTTACTAATATCAAATGTTCGGGATTCCACATTTAATCACTTCCTTTTTCAAAGAACATTAAGTCTGTTCTCATTCTTATAATTAAAGTCTACATCTCGCCGCTCTGCTTTGTGTCTGCAGCTTCATTTTTTTTAAAAATACAGATATTACAGCCGCGATTAAAAACGCGCTTTCCTGAATACAGCGTGTGTCTTTGCAAGCGACTCGATGCCATGTTCGCTGTTTTTTTTTCTAATGCGCACATACGTTTAATATGTCCCCATGGCTGCCACAACAAGCCTGTTGGTGTTGCTGCACACTGCAAGAGAGCCATCCAGCTGCAGAAATATGTTGTTCCCCAGCGGGACAACAGGCGCTGCTGGAGCCACCTCCAGACTTCGGGAGACAGAGATCAGGCTCGGGAGACATCAAGGAGCAATCAGTGTCTGCTCACATACACCGACAGACTGATTTATGATGAAACTTTAAAGAAATCATTTATATTTCACCACTTCTAAATCGGTGTATGAAAATTTCATCCACAATGAAACACACAAAAAAGTATATCTTAAGTCAAATAAATCAGCCCCAGCTTCTCCCAAGCAATTGACTTTGAAGTGCACTTTCAACACTTTCGCGAGTGTGTTCACATACCTAAGGCTTTTACTTCCTTTGCCAACAGCTTTCTCACGTTTGAGGGAGGACACAGTGTCAGAATGTTTAACAGAATTACCTTTGAAGGGTCTGTCATGGCAAACAGAAACACAATTAAGCTGCGATTCCACATATTTCCCCCCTTTTCTTTTTAAAGCTGTTATATTTGTTTTACTGTATTGGTTTAACGTATTACTGTTTTGCTTTTTTTATTTATAGAATTTTTAATTATAAACAACACGTTATGTGCAGCATTTCAATTTTTATCTTTAATCATTCATCAACAATAAATAAATTATTACATCTAAATCACGACAATATTTTGTTAAAGAAAATAAAATGCATTAATCAGAATAGCATTTCTGATTTTTTCAATTTTATTTTTACACTGTGAAAATATTTTGATGTGCAAATATGAGGTTTTTTTTCAACATTTTCATATAGTTAGCCAAATGCTCCTCCAGTTTTAAATAGTTTTCCCTCCATTTATATCATCACACTGATACAGTAATTTGAGGCAATGCTGCTATTAGGAAAAAAAACACATAGTTGTTTAAGTTGCACATACCTTGCCTTTAAAAACATATAGCCTCAGTGTAATTGTGCAAAAAAAGAAAAAAGGAAAAAAAGACTTCTAGCACTTCAAGGATCTTTGCTACATATATATATAAATAAATCTGCTCCATCTAAAAATAAAAGTAAAGCCAAAAAGTAAAACAGGGAGCACATGCAGCAAGGCTTGATATAACTCAGGTGACTTGTTTGCTTTTTTTCTCCCCTCCTCCTCCTCCTCCTCCTCCTCCTCACTCTCTTACTTACATTCGAATCAAGGAGTGCTGCAGAGGTGTCTGTGTGCTTTTACACAAAGACATACTCTTCTCAGCCTCCCTCAGGAGCTCTCCACGTTAACAATCCCAATTACACCAAGACCACCAGAGACAGCTGTTTTTATTACAGAACCGCTCCTTTGTGCCGCCAACAAGGTATCTCCGCTCCTAGACTGAACACAGAGATAAAGCTCGACTGTGAGGCAGAGGCAGAGAGGAGAGGGAGAGAAGTGTGGAGTGAAGTGGATGAAGTCTCTCGACTGCTCGCAGTGGTGATGCCTTTATTCACAGCTTCCCCCTACCTTTTCTGATCTCGTGGAGCTCTTTACATGCTGGAGCAGAAGGTCAATGCTTGTTGGGAGAGGGTCTACAAAGAGATCAGGATCTAACTCAAGGCAACAGCAAATCACACACACAAAAACGAGAGTGGGGGATGGGGGGGGGGATGTGTTTCAGTCACCAAAAGCAGCGTTTTATTTATTCATCTGCTTTACCTGGGAAATGTGACAGGTTCCACGAGGAACATTCAGGCTTTAATGTGTTGTTTAAATGCATACAACAAAAGGTAGAAGCCTTCAGGATTTACTAAATGTCACACACTGTACTGTAGCTCTCAGGCGGAACAAGTGGCTCGCCACTTGAGATAATGAAAGCGGGTTCAAAAACTGCTCCAGAATCGCAGCTCGACTGTAAGCGCATTTGATCTCTCCATGGGGCAAAGTATGAGCATCAACAGTTTGCGAGACAGTCAAATTATGTTTTAATTCAGCTCAGTTCAATTCTACGTATACAGCACCAAATCACAACAACAGTCACCTCAAGGCGCTTTATATTGTAAAGTAGACCCTGAAATAATACAACAGAGAAACTCCCAACAATCATATGACCCCCTATGAGCAAACACTTTGGCAACAGTGGGAAAGAAAAACTCCCTTTTAACAGGAAGAAACCTCCAGCAGAACCAGGCTTAGGGAGGGGCGGTCATCTGCTGCGACCTAGTTGGAATGAGGGGAAAATGACAGGACAAAAGGCATGCTGTGGAAGAGAGCCAGAGATTAATGACAACTAATGACTTTATGGGTAGTTTGAGAAAGAAAAACATTTGGACATTTTTCTGACTTTGCAGTCCAAAAAGCTGGAGGGAAGGAGGCTTTCTCTGAACTTGACTTACAAATCTGCAGGAAACTATTTTTTCTTTTGCCGCTTGGGGTCAGTGGAACAAGATTTGACATGTTAACTTTAAAAAGCGGGCAAATGTGCAGGCAAACGGTTGTTTACACACGAGCAGTTGTAGGACGTGACTGTGTTATTTTTAACCCTACTGTCTCTCTTTTAGCTCTGTTTTGGTCTCCGACTTCTCTTGGAGATATTTTGGGTCTTCTTAGTGTATAAATGTGCAGCTGATTCAGATGCATCCTGTCTTACACTTGATTTCTGAGCTGTTTAGATAAAAATGACTGAAATTGATGAAGGCTGCGAGAATGAACCAAATTATTAGTGATTCGTAAAGGCTGAAAAACAAAAACAACAAACTGCAGAGTCAGCTGATAATCATATGAGGGTTACACCATTGAAAGTATCACCCTTCACGTTGCACACGTTCATTTCAAATATAGAAACATGGTAAAATGGTGCTTTTTAGACTCCACAATTATTTCCATTGTTTATTTATTTGTACATTTACATTACACCGGTGTTGCTAATTTCATCACTTTCTGTTGATTCCTTTACTGCAGCCAACAGCAAAACCAGCTAACCTGGTGTAGTAGTGAAGTCAACCTCAGGCTAAGAGGTCAGGAAAACAAATAACACCAGCACCAATTTCCCTATTACGCACCAGATGCCAACCTTTAGGGGAGAGGCATTAGATTCTGGCCCAGCCCTGCCTATAGGCTGCAGGGCAGCAGATGATAAGGTCAAGCCTCATAATGATGTCACATACCTTTAGGTACTTCAGATCAATATCGAGAGAGGAGCGTGATACCTGACAGTCAGTCAAATAAAGCCTGCCTGGCAAAGGGAAAAGAGAAAAAAAAACTCACTTTGAGACTGCCTCTGCTGATAAAATGAGATCCTTTCTTTCATGCTGCTTTTGGCAAAGATCACAGTGTAGGCAGGCTTTGTGAGCTCTAAAAATGCGTGGTCATCCTCACATCTGGTAACGTATCCTGCAGTTTTGACCACATTTTGCAGATTAACCTTAAATAACGGGACAGAATGAACAAAATTTTACATATGTAACAAAGCACATTTGTTGTTTTTTTTAACTGTAAACTGAATCCGTTTGGTTTATCATCGACTCACACGGCTCTGTAGGATAATATTTGACATGACAGTCATTCCT